AGGTCCCAGGAGGCCCCAAGGGGCTCCTGGAGACCCCAGGAAGCCCCAGTAGGTTTCAGGAGGCTCCAAGAGGCCCCAGGCTCATGCACAAAGACGCGCTCGTACTACTGAGGCTCATTCGCACTCCAATTCATTCGCAATTAGACTTATGTCCAGGCCGTCACAACTGAAGCCCGTGTATATTCGAAAGCTCTTGCGCCTAGACATTCACGGCGGACAGGTCCATGCGAATAGATGCACATATGGGGAGCTCCACGCAGTGAAAACATTGTTTCGCGAGCTTCGGCGTGCCACGCAGAAACAGCGTGTACAGTTGCTCCACGCGTTGGTCAATGTATCCTGCGTCTGGGAAATACACTGTGACTAACAATAGCTTGAATGAGCCTTGACGTATGTGGAGCGCTGCAAGTCTAGCGCTAACACCTTGAAACTGTTTGACGTGTTTGCTCCATCGTTTGTGCACCAGCACGCCAAACCTGTGAGAAGGCTGACCATGACCATTTCCGACGAAAATTTAGCCTTCGGGAGTCTCCCACATCTGTGAAGCTGCTATCCTCCAAATCTGGTTGAATATTATGAAGTCTCCATGTTTTGTGCCCATCTCGATGATCACCTCATCAATGCGGTCACCGTTGAGAGGACGTGCATGTTTGTGAAATGCCGTCATTGACCACGTGCTGTCTTGGGCTGTCGGGAACGTACTGACCCGGGTCAAACCAGGACCCAGATCAATCAGGCCTTGCAAGATCCTGCACCCAAGCCAGGGTCAATGCAACCCTGGCTCTGCAGGATTCTACAAGATCCGGCGTTCTGGCTGACTCCCGTTTGAATTGACCCCCGTCTCTTAAGCCCCGAGGCTGTGGCTTGATGGTCGCGCAGATGGATTGGTTGACTTAGCTAACTGTGAAAACTTAGCATGTGCGGAGGGGCCTGAAGAATGCAAGGGAGAACGTCGCCGTCGACATGTGTGAAATCGGCTCTACCCTGCCTGTGCTGCTGTGGAGGTGTGGAGGGCTGAGCTGCTTGGAGGTGGGAGTAGGAGGGAGGGAGGGAGGGATGGGGGCAGGGGAAAAGGAGGAAGAGAAGGATGAGGAGGAGGAGGAGGAGAAGGAAGAGGAGGAGGAGGAGGAGGAGGAGGAGGAGGAGGAGGAGGAGGAGGGGGGGGGGGAGGAGGAGGAGGAGGAGGGGTGGCGGGAGGGAGGCGGGCGGAGCGAGGACAACTTGTTCTTGCTGCGGGCGGCTCCCAAGCTCGCTCCACGAGCGCGCCCAGAGGAGCAGAAGAGCTGGTCTTGCCGCAGGCCGCTGTCACTCAATATTCCGACGAGATTGCCCAGCAGGGCCAGCGTCGGGAACATGCCAGCGAGGGCCCAGCCATGGCTCCCCCCCCGTCGAGGCATGCCTTCTCCGGCTCGGCTACCCGTGAGAGGAGGCCCTGCTCGCTGCAGCCTCCCCGAGGCCTCAGAATTCTTGGCAGACAGAGCTGCTGTGAGTATCGTTTATCCGATCCCCATCCCCAGCGGCGTGGCCTGGGCCCCACTGGCCGACTTACCCCCCTAGATGGGGATATAGGCCGTTCCCTTTGGGCTTCGAGGGGTGTATCCCCAACTGGGGGGGGGGGGTAATTTGGTGGGGGTCTCGAAGGGGATGGGGATGGGGATCGGATAAACGGTACTGATACTGGGCAGCGCAGGGCAAGGCGACACTCCAAGCGCAAAAAGCCAAGGGCTGCACGTCGGCCGACAGCAGCTGCAGAGCCAGGCAAAAGGTAAGCGCGACCTCTGCTACACAAACGGCGTGGCCGTCTCATGCTCCCTGTGCCCAGGGGCACGAAGACTGGGGGAGAAGGAGGAGGAGGAGGAGGAGGAGGAGGAGGAGGAGGGAGGGGGATGAGGGATGAGGGATGAGGGAGGAGGGAGGAGGGGGGGAGGGAGGGAGGGGGGAGGAGGGAGGAGGGAGGAGGGAAAAGGGAGGAGGAGGAGGGAGTAGGGAGGAGGGGGGGAGGGGAGACGGCGCGGGGGACAGGGCACTCTAAGCCTGCACCAGAGCTTTTCATCGGTGTGTGCGCTGCCGACCTCCCAGCCGACCACTCGTCGTCCTCTCGCCCGCTTCAGACGCTCCGTCGTTAGGGAGCCCACAAAAAGGACGTACGCGCCCAGCTATGTACATGAACACGGCCCCTCGATTCGCGAGACCGGCCGCGTTATACGAACATTTGTGCAATGCGTGCTCTCGAAACCAGCGTGGATTCATGTACATGTACGTCCTTCTTTCGCTCCTGAGTCGTCGGAGGCGCGGCCCCAGTGAGCGCCGCACGGTGGAAACGATCTGCGCGGACGGACAAGTGCAGGGGCGGCGGGTCGCACCAGCTGCAATAACAATCCCCCGCGCCCGCGGGCCGCCCTCGGAGCCTGGACTCCCCGGGTGCGGTGTACAGTACGTTCCGGGATTGGCATCGGCGGGCGCGCTCCAGGAGGATGGGAGCATGTCAGTGTGCTTCAAAATGCGGCACGCGAGATTCTCGAATCAAATAACTGCGCGAATAACATCGGCTGGCATGTGGATGCGCGAAGACCATGCCGTAGCCAGAGCATCCACGATAGTATCGATGAAGAGGTACACGACGCCACAGGACGAGCGGGCTTCTCATTATCCCCAGAGTGCATACAATGAATTGAAAGCACACCGACCGTAAGTCGAACACTTGCCAGAACTCCAACCACACGCCGGAGATCTGCAGCCGCAAGGTGTGGTAACGGCCCACTCTGAAAGGCCTTGTGGTGATTCATGCGGTCCGTCACCACTGCCAGATCTTGATCGGGACCAGACCCGACGCACCACTTCCACGGTGGCAACGAACTCCGCGCGCGGCTCAATCTGATTCTGACTGTCCAATACTCAGTGAGCCCCGCAGTCACAGTCACACTCAAGGATCAAGCAACAAAGGCGCACAAAACCCGAGGTCACGCTACGCAATATGGGATCGGTGGCAAAAGGCCCTCCAACGACGTCTGAACCGCGCGCCCCTCCCAATAACGAATCGTCATGACATCGGAACTCCCCTGGACTCCCAGAGACACCCAAGAACATCCAAAACTTCGTCGACACCCTCCCCTCCTCAATCGTCGATCTCCAGGAGGACCCAGACATCAGACGTTGTGTTTTCGTTCGCGGCGTCGATCCGCGGAAGTCTGGACCGATGGGCATGTTTTCCACCAACACCACCATCAGTTGGAGGGGCAGGGGGTCCTCCTCCTCCTCCTCCTCCTCCTCCTCCTCGTCCTCCCCCTCCTTCCCCCAACTTCTGGTGGTGGTGGTGGAGAACAAGCCCATCAGAGGACGAGAACTGGAGGAAGGACTCCCGGCGTGATATTTCTCCACGGCGCGAGGGTGTCGGGTGAGGTGGTGCCCCCCCTTTGAGCGTTGTTTGGTTTACCCTTAGGTCGGGCGTGTCCTCCTACAGGGAGAGTTTGGACGAAAGATAAAAAACAGAAGATATTCCACAATGGTCGAACGTATTTGTTAAAACAGTGGTCCTATTGTTGGTCCTATGTTTGAATATTCCTCCCGCAGAAGGACAAGGCCGACTTAACTTTGCCCCTCCTTCCCCTTACTCCTCGCCGCTGGGCGAGCGCCTCCCACTCTCCGGAGCCCCGGGCAGCGCCTCGGGTGCCCCGGGAGACGAAGCAGAAGCGGCGCGTTCTCCGTACGTTCTGGCACGTTTGCCTGCATGGCCTGTCCCCCCCCCCCCGCCGTTTCAAACGGTGCTGGGCCGACGGAGATTGCACGTCGGTCTCGGCCTGCGTGAAGTCCACACTTCCTTTCGGGCCTCGCCACGCCGCACCCTCCCTCCATGCAACCAAACGTGCCAGTCTGAAGAAGACATGCCTCTTGCCTCATCGAGAAGCCTAGAAGGACACGCTAAACAAAACCCGAACAGACTTGGCTGACCAGCAGCGATGAAGCCAAGGGGCACGACACGACAGACGAAGGACGGACGACAGACGAGGACGACGAGGACGAGACGAGGACAACTAACAACGAAAGGACGAAGGACGACCAGGAAGGACACGCCCAGGAAAAAACACGCACGCACATGACAACGCATCCTCTCCCCTCCTTTTGCTGGGCGGCATGCTGGCCCAGCAGCCCTTGCCACCAGTGAGCTGAGACATACTTACTGACCTCCATCGGCATTCGTCGCCACTCCTCCTCCTCCTCCAGTCTCGTCCTTCCTTCCCTGCCCTTCCTCCATATTACTCCCCCCTTCCACGCTCCATGGGAGGCCTCCCAGATGGGGTTCGAGCAGATGGGGTCGGAGGATCGCGCCGCATCGCCGATGAATCGATGAAGCACCGGCGACGCCAGCGATGAGTCGGCCACGACGGCGTGGATCGAGTAGGAGATCGACTGCAGAATTGGCGCACCCCAGAAATGAGTTGTTCTTCGAATCTATGACAAAAAAGCGTAGACTGTCCCGTTGACCCACACACAAACACATTCCACGCATTGTTGCTGCAGACTCGATGGGCAAGTGGGAGCACGCCAACCCTGCACTCGACCTCCCACTCGAGTGGAGACTGTCGGGCTCCGCACCGAGCCGCATCGCCGACGCATCCGCGCTGCGGCCCGATCCTGGGACCCCCACCCGGGCGGCCCAGGGCTCCACGCCTCTGGGCCGCCACGCTGGGCTCCGCGGAGGCCCCTCCGCCCAGCGGCCGGGGGCGGCGCGCGCGCGAGGTCAGGGGAGGGGGTCAGAGCCCCGAATCATCAGGGGTAACTCGGGTCAGGGCTAACTCGGGTTCGTTTTTCGGGAGTGCGAACCCGACTTACCCTGGACCCGAGTTACCCCAGAAAAATTCGGGCGTCCAGAGCCCCAAAATCATCAGGGGTAACGCGGGTCAGGGGTAACTCGGGTTCGTTTTTCGGGAACCCAAACCCGAGTTACCCCGGACCCGAGTTACCCCGGATAACTCGGGCGTCCAGGGGGGGGGGCGGCGGTCCTCGCTGGCATCCACGTAGGCCGCAAACCTCTGCGCGGAGAAGCCCCCGGCGGCAGAATTCGCCAGTGCGCGATCGACAAGACGCTGGAGTGCGAGGAGGCACTTTTGGGCGTCGGCGGCCAGGCAGAGGGACGTCTGCGCTGGCGATGGGGAGCCTGAGCGGGGATGCCGTCGGGGCGAAGTGTGCCACAATGCAGAAGGAGGAGCGGGGGGAGGACGCGGCCGAAAGAGGGGCTCCTCCAAAGTGCGATGGAACGCACAAGTGTGATACATGGGATGATCAACTCGAGCAAGACAAATTTTCTATCGCGCGTGGGCGGGAACACTCCGCGCGGAGTAGCCCCAGGGCAAGAGCGGCAAAGTTCTGTGGCATCTCACGGGACTTCCTGTGCCCGCTTGCTAGCCCTAGCGCATCGGCGCTAACCAACGCGAGTCGACGATGGCCGACGCTAAATCGACGCTCATCAACTCTGTCCCATCGGTTGACTGACGCGACCGAGGCCCCAACACGGCACCAACAGGCCTCAAAGCGGCCACCAGGAGATCCCCGAGGGACCCCAGGCAGGAGTCAGCCAATGATGAAGCCGAGTGAAGGGCAATTGGGGCCAAAATGTCCAGGATTCGGCATGCGGACCAGAGATGTGCCAGCGCCGTTGTTGAGTTCAGCCTCCCACGAGTAGCATCCCAGCATGAAAATACATTTTCGGACGTCCGGGCGGAGCTCTGTCGAGGCGCAGCGGGTTTCTCTGAACAAGGGGGATTCCTCTGAGAACTCTCTGCGCAACAGCGGGTTACAAAAAACGCGGCTCGTGGCAGGCCCGAATCTTGGATGCCCGCACCCGTTCGGCCCAAGGCCGAGGGCAATTCTCTGACGAGGGCCAGACAGCACTAGCGAGGCCGGTGGAGTGGGGAGGGCACGAAACCTGGCGAATACTGTCGGACCTAATTAGGCCAGAAGAACATCCCTCAAGAACACAAGACCCTCCGCCGGCCCAAACTGTAGGACATCCAAGGGTACCCCCCACCAGGATGCACAAGCAAGAACATGCCGCAAACACGAAAAACATTATGATACCCTCCCCGAACCGACCTCGACCTTTTCCATCGGTCCGACTGGCACATGGTGTTCCGATACCTGCCGCGGTCTGTCGGAGCCTCCCTGGAGGGTCAGCTGAAACACTGGCGAAGCAAGTGGGAAAGAGAGGGCCCCACACCTGTGAAACAGCACGGTACTTCCATGCCTGCCTCTGTGTGGCGGGGCCTGCATATGAATATGAAGGGTCAGATGGGAACAACTCGGGAAATCGAAAGGTACTGATGCCGCTACTCCCCGGACCTCTCCTGAAGTGCGTTCTGACCAGGATATCGAAGCGAATCCACCGGAGGCGACGAGGGCCTCCCAGGAAGCCCAAACAGGGGAAAACGGGTAGGCACGTGCGCGAAATATTGGCGATGCATAGATGGCATTTAGCACACCACTGCATGACCACGGACACGCGAGCAACAACCCACACTTATGCGGTATTTGTTGATGGTAATACACCATTGGATGCAAAGGCGCAAACAAAGTCCCACCCTGACGCAATCCTTTGCTGGAGGGAGGTGGGGACGATAGAGCGAAACGGTTGGTAATGAACACGCCACACGCCACTGACACTCCACTGGACGGCAGGCCACGTCCCATTTCCTATCCGGCCCCCCCTTCGAGAGAGACCACTGGCCTTCATGCGCATATCACCGCCACATCGACTTCGGCACTAAGGGGTTTTGCTTGCTTGGCCGTGTACGGCACGGACGAATGGTGCAAAAGCGAGCGCACCTTGCAGTCGTTGCAGCGATTGTTTCCGAAGGTGTACTCGACTTCGGATGTCTCTGCAATCGTTGCAAACATGACGAAGTAAATACCCCTGAAAATGGCAACGCGATTGTTGAGCTCGATCTGGTAGTTGTCGCACACGTATTCCGACCAGCCATTGTCGCCATTGATCGCAAAACCACCTCTTCGGCATTGGGCCGGAACTGGTGATCGGCAGTCTTGGTTGACTTGAACTACGCGCCGCACTTGCTGTAGGCGTGAAGCCCACCTGGATGTAGTCGTCGCTGCCGAAGCGGCCTGGATGTAGTCGCCGCTTTCCTTGCAGATCCTCGGAATGTCTTTGATGGCGCCCGCCTTCGCCCAGATATTCTTGAATCCCCCCGCGACGGTGGAAGTCATGATGCGATTACTTTCGGCTGTTTGACTGGAGCCCGTGTACGGCACGGACGAGTGGTGCAAGGCGGGGCCGCCGCGCCCGCGGCGGCCCCGCCGTGCAAGCAACCTGCTCGCCTCCGACGACGGACGCTGGCGCGGAAGACGGCGACGACGACGTCGCCATCGCGCTCGCCAGCGAGATGCGGGAGGCCACCCGCAGAAAGAGGATGAGGAGGAAGAAGGGAAAGAGGAGGAGTAGGAGGAGGAGGAGGAGGAGGAGGAGGAGGAGGAGGAGGAGGAGGAGTAGGAGGAGGAGGAGGAGGAGGAGAAGGAGGAGGAGGAGGAGGCTGGGCGGTGGCGAGGGAGGTCGCGCCGCTGCTGCGGGTGTCTTTGCGAGGCCTCACCGCCCGCGAAGCCACCGCGCGGCTCGCGGAGGCCGCCGGGGCGCTCGCCGCCGCGCGACGCGGCAGCTGCCACCGCGCGCGGGAGCGAGCTGCAGGCCGCCGCCGCCGCCGCCGCGGCAACCAACTCAGGCCGCCGGGCCTGCTGTGGCGGCCTAGGGCCGCCCAGCGCTGGCAGCGCCCTTGCAGGCGGCCTGGTGCGGCCGGGCCGCGCCCGGCCGACGGCGCGGGGGGGCGGCACCGCGTCCCGCCGCTTGGCTGAGCGGGGCTGCGCTGGGCGCGCGCGCCCACAGCGGGTCCTCCTCCCTCCCCGCTCTCCGTCCCCCTCCCCCCCCCGCGCGCCCTTCGCGTTCGTCAGTCGTCCGTCGTCGTGTCGTGCCGTCTCCCTGCACTCCGGGCCCGCAATCGCTAGAGTTCGTTTCTGGTTAAAGCGCTCTATAATATGCACTCTGCGTTGTGCAATCCACGTGGTACATACAATTCGCCAATGCTCGCCGTGAGCTGTCAAATCCAATGCTCGAACAATCATCCACCTTCCCACCTTCATTTGGTTTGCAAAACCCACGCGACTGCGATTGTGATGCTTGTTTGACGCTGGCTGGAACAATTTGCGGCCGCGCTAATCCGCGAATGCTCGCGAGCGCAGCGGCCAGCTAGTGCGGCGCCACCAACGCGGTCGCGGCGGCGCTGACTGCTGGGCATTTCCCAACGGGCACTTCAGTGCGAGCCAGTGATTTGATCGAGCGCGGTATCATAGCGAAGCCGGCAACGGTAGACACGAGAATGGGTGTAGCGATGATGGTGACGATTGTGGTGACGACGACGGCAAATCCAATGACGGCGCCGATGTTGAACACGTCCGCCGATACATATGACGGTGCTTCTCACGTCTATGATGAGGGTGTTGAAGGAAGTTCGACGTTCGCCAGCGGCCGACGCGCGCGTCGCCCGCGTGGAACTATCTGACACGGATCGTGCCCCGGATGAGCTCGACATGCGTTGCAAGAGAACCGCTCGGCAAAACTTGATGGCAATGTCGAAAGCCCGATGGCTTTCTGAAGGATCCGCACGGTGTTGCAAAATACGGTTGATGCGAAATCACGTGCTGATACACATGGTCGGGACAGTCGTTTTTGACATCCGTACAAAACCTACGATTGTTTGAACAGCTTCGGCATGCGCGCGCGACGACGCGCGCGTGCGCACTTTGTCCCACTTCCTTGCAAAAGGCTTCTTGCGACAGCACGCGCGCAAGGGCGCCCGAACGATTCGACATGTGCGCGCGGGAGGGCCGCTTGGTAACATGTCATGAAACATTGCGAGCCATGTTGTTTTAAATCTACAGGAGCGCGAGCGCAGGCGTTGCTTGAAGACCCTTGTTGTGTGAGCGTACGTTTGTGCACGTTTTCGTGACAATCGGTATTGTAATCCTTATGCACCAATATATACATGTATCTATACACGCATGTGTGCGTTGAACAATAAAGGCATGCTTGTATGGGTTCGCGACGACGCGCGCGTGCGCACGTCGTCCCATTTGTTGCAATATATATATACACATATATATATACATATATACATATATGAGTATACATATAGAAAGAGAGAGGAACAAACAACGCATGAATGGTGGTAATCGAGTGCGCGTACATACTATTTTTTGCAGAGGGTGTGGGGGTGGATGCCAGCCTGCCTGGGTTGGTGCGGAGTCACATTTCGAATGGCCGATGGGGCAGAACCGTATGCAAATGGCGCATCCCCTGCCAGTGGGACCCAATAAGTCGGGGGGGGGATATTGCTTGATGGCCGGTTCCAAAAGGAGAGCTCACCCTGCTGAGCTTGAAACTGTCCAGTCCGCACCCGTAACTTGGCTATCAAACCCGCGCGGCGGCGATTGCGATGACTGCTCGGCGCTGGCTGGCGCACGCCGCGGCCGCGCCGACCGTTGGGCACTTCCCAGCGCGTATCGCAGGCCGCGCTGACGCGCGGGCACTGTAGAGCGAGTCCGTGACTCGGGGGGGCGCGGTGTCATGGCAACGTCGGCAACGGCAAGCATGATGATAATGATGATAATTACCGAGTCCAGTGCCGATGGTGACAATGACGACGGCAAGGGCAATGACAGAACCGACGTTGATCACGCCAATGAAGGTATCCTCGCGTCGGTGGTGAGGTTTGTGATGCGAATCTCGACATGCAAGCTGCCGAGTCACGCCTCGATGCTCTTCTGCATCCTCCTTCCCGCCCACCCTCGATCATCCCACTCCTCCACCTCCCCCTCCCTCGATCGGCGACTCCGAAGGGTGTGGTTTGCAAAGGGTGTGGTTTGCAACGGGCGCCGTATGGGGGGCACACTGGAGGGCGGGCGGGGACCTCGACAGAGCTCTCCGCCGTGTTCCGAGGAGGCCCGACGAGGACAGTGCCGTGCCTCCCAGACCCCAACGGCGCCGATCACAAAGTACACCCCGGCGTGAATACACGCTTTGTATTCGTCGATCCCATCTAGGGAACAAGCAATACTAAAAACATAATATTTCGGAGGTCCATGCGGATTTTTCGGATCGGCGCTGGGACCTCCTCGGGTCTGCGTGGTGAATCCACACAGACCTCCGTACGCTTGTGTCAATGTCGGGGGCGCGCAAGCATGGATTAGCGATCCATGGATTTGGCGCGCGGTCGCCAAATCCATGGATCGGGGGAGGCGCCCTCCCCAAAATGCGGCCGGTGCCGCCTTTCACGGCGGCAGAAACCCGCGATTTCCAACATGGAAACGGCACCCATCGCTAACCCACGCCCCCTTAATCCATGTTTGCGATCGCCTGACGTTGATCGTGCCCCGACCCCTCCCCACCTCCCCCCCGGCGACCCTCGACCCTCCTGCAGGCGGAGGGGGCCTCTGCGCGAACTCGGTGCCCGCGCTGCTCATCTCCGAGTCGGAATACGTGATGCGGCTCGAGCCCTGGGCCTCCGTGGGGTGCGCCACGCCGGAGGGGGCCCAAAAGCGGCCGAAGATGCCCAAACACCTCGATCCTCCGACCTCGACCCCCCTCTCTTCGATCCTCCATCCTCGATCCTCCCCTTCCTGCTTCGGGCTTCTGTGTGAGGCGTCGTCTGTTGCGGGGCATTCATCCACAGTCAAGTGCTCCTTTCGACGACGTCTCTCAACTGCAGGTCGTCAACCTTCCCCCAGCAGCACTCCGAGAGTGCCTCCAGCTCCAGAGGGCAGGCGGTCATTGGGCCCGTCGGCCAGGCCCGAGCACGTCGCTCCGAGTCACCGACTCGCAGCGAAGTGCCCGCGCGCCAGCGCAGCCTGTGAGACGCGCTCGGAGGCTCCCAACGGTCAGCTCCACCGCGGCCGCGCCGGTCGCGGCGCCAAACTAGCTGGCCGCCCTGCGCGCGAGCCCGCACGCGCTAGTGCGGCCGCGTCGATGCGCCAGCCAGCACCAAGTGCTCACAGCAATCTCTGTCGAATGGGTTTTGCAAACCAGATTGCATGTGGGTGTGGCATGATTGCACGCGCAGTGGAATTGACAACTCCAAATTCACAAATAATTGCGCCACGGAGATTGCACCTCATAGATTGCGCCACACATGTAGTACCACGTAGATTGCGCCACATAGGCTGCACAACATAATGGTGCACCATATAGGTTGCAATCCATAGATTGCTCCACATAGATGGCACCACACATATCGCTGACAATGCAGTGCTTGGGGTCAACGCTGGCTAACGTTAATGCAATCATATATATATATATATATATATATAGATGCATTGTACACTCATATATGTGTATATACGCATGTCGGTAAACGCCACCGTGCCAGGAAGCACGACTTGGGGTGTGCTCAGGTCCCTTCGAGTTCTCTGTGTTGAGATCTGTTCGATATTCTCGACAGTTCCCATAACCAGGAGTTCCGGACAGTCTTGGGCGCTCTCGAGCGCTTGGGGGGTCGCGTGATTTTTCGAAAGGCCAAGAGCGCAGTGTTCGGGACACGCATGTCCAACATGGTTTTAGATGGCCTCGGGGACAGTCTTGGAGCCTTCTTGGGCGCAACTTGGACCATCTTGGAGGCCTTGGAGGGTTGCCCGGGACGGCCAAATCGTCAGTGTTTGCTTGGTTTTCGCATTATCGCCTTCTTGGTTCAGAACGTCCAAAACAACCTCAGAGTCGCCAAAGATCGCCCCCCAAAACGGCCCAAGAGCTCCCCCAGAAGAGGGCCAGGAGGCCCCCAAGAGGGGACCAAGATGCGGAGCACAAACTCAAAGTTTGAGCCCTCTGCCCCAAGATGGCCCCAAGATCGCCCCCAAAGCCCCCGAGGTGCGCCCATGTATACAACTTGACATGTCTCTCTCTCTCTCTCTCTCTCTCTATATATATATACATATATGTATATGTGTGTGTGTGGGTGGATGCGTATGTATGAATATATGTACGAATAGAAAGGTATGCATGTGTGTAGGTATGTGTGTATTATGGTTGTAGGTGTGACTGCACGCATGCATGACTGCATACATGAATACATGCATATATGCATGGTTGAATGTGTATGTATGTATGTAAACACGTATATACGCATGAATGTATGTATACATGTTTTGTTGCTTATGAGGGTGTATGGATAGCTGCATGTATGCATGCATGTAGGTATGCCAGTATGTACGTATGTTCGCATGCATGTATGCACGCATGCATGTATTGTATGCGTGGTGTGTATGTGTGTATGTATGCATGTGTATGTATGCATGTCTGTATCTGTGTGTATGTATGTATGTATGTTTGTTTGTTTGTATGTATGTATGTATGTATGTATGCATGTGTATGTGTCTGCATGTATGTGTGTAGGCATGTGAACGTGCATGTGTGGGATTGCATGTGTGTGACTGTATGCGTATATGTATGTAGGTGTATGTTTGTGTGCATATATGCATGTATGCAATTGTGTATGGACGTACGTATGTATGTTTGTATGTATACCTACATGTATTAACATGTACACATACACACAACAATACACACATACATACATACACACACATACATACACACATACATACAAACATACAATCATACATCCGCACACACACATATAGTTATGTTTAGATTCATGTTTGTATAGATTCGCCGCAATGCCTCTTTGCACGGAGTTGGCGTGTTCTCAAGTCCCCTGACTACCCCTCTAAGCCTAAGACGTCGCTACTGAGGAGTTCACAAAGGGGTTCGGAGCCCCTCGTCGAAAATCTCTTGAGGCGAGGCGAGGTCTGTCGTGAGACTGTTTCGGGCCGAAGAGGACCCTAAGACGCGCCAAGAGGGCCCCAGGAAGCTACCAAGACGCTCTAACGAGTCGCGAACGATTGCTCCAAAACGCTCAAGATGGCCCCCAGACGGCCCACGAGGCCTCCAAGACGCCCAAAGAGGCCTCCAAGAGGCTTCCCAAGAGGGCCCCAGGAGGCCAACATCATTGATCTTCTTTGGGTGTGTGAAAATGTTGGCGTTCTCGACTGTTCCGCTGCCCGACGCTCCCGGGCCTGCCTGACCGGGAAGCACCGGGCACCCTTCGTGCGCCGATCCTACCATTCTTCACCCTGGGGGGGGGGGAGGGGAAGGGGAGGAGGGAGGGAAGGGAGGAGAGGGGGCGGAAAGGGAACGGGAAGGGTCCGCGAATGGGGGCTCCCACGTGCGGATGATCACGACCCCGCCTCCCCTCAGCCGCGGCCGCGGCTGGGGGGGGGAGGGGTCGTGAACGTTCGTGCCAACCCCCTGTTCGCGGGCGAATGGGGGCTCCCCCACGAGAGCCCCAAGACGGCCCCAAGAGGGGCCCAAAAGAAGGAACAAGAACCGAAAATCCGAGCCTTCCGCCCCAAGAGGCCCCCGGAAAGCCCCACGAGGCGCCCAGGAGACTCTAAGAGGCCCCCAAGAGGCCTCCAAGAGGCCCCAATAGGCCCCCAAGAGGTCCCGAACGGCAACCAAGAGGCATCCAAACTGTCTCCAAGAGACCCCCGAGGAGCCTCCCACAAAATCCCAACGAACACCCACTAGGCTTCATACCCACAGACAAGCACGGTAGCGGGATGGACCGGAGGCCATGCGATCGACATGGTACACGGGGTGCCCCGACGGTCAGAGAGATTTACACATCAAACTTAGAAACGCCTTGCTGACGATCAATGTATTCATGCGTGATCTTCCAATCCCCCCAAACAAAAACAGACGTTACGACTGATTGCCTACGAGCTTCGATCTGTGCTGCGCCGAGGAGGCAGGCACACACAGCGGAGAGCTGAAGTTGGGAATAGGCCATATGCGACCACCGACGGGCTATATATTACAAGACCACGTACGGCACATGGTGGCAAACGCTCAAGCTGAGACAAGCTATGGATTACACAGGATGCGCGGACGCCAAGGATATCCCCACAACAAACTCAGCACCGCACTGGTGACGATCAGGTATCTGCATTTGTGATATCCGCATCCCCGCAAACAACAATAAACGCTTCACCTGGTTGGTTATATGCTTCGATCTGCCTTGCGCCGCGGATGCTGGCACACACAGCGGAGAGCTGGAGGTTGGTATAGGCCACATATTATCCCTACATGGTTGTGGTCTTCCCACGCCTCGCGGGGGGGAAAAGCAAAAACGCTTGGACTGGTTGGTTGCAGAACTCTATTTTGTTTTGCCACGAAAACACGCATACACAGCGGAGAGCTTCAAGTTGGTACTGGCCACGAGATACCACCTGCGTGGAGACAACAGCTCAAACCGTTCAGCTTGGACGTAAACAGCACTTGATCATTACACAAGTGAGCTCGAACACAAAAAACATATTGAGGCGCGCTGCGCGAGAACAAATAATGGCTGGAGGGTAAGAAAAGCTCTGAGAACGGGCTCGCATCAACATGGCTGACACTCAGACACCCCAGTGTCTGGTTGGCTACAAGCTTCGAGCTGTGTTGTGCCACGGCAAGCGGCACACACACAACGTAGAACTTGATATTCGTATAGGCCACTTTCACCGGCATGGAGACAGGAGATCAAGCAACTTAGGAGTGCACACCACTTGATAATCATACACGTGAGCTCAAACACAAAAAGTCTTACTGAGACGCGCTACCAGAGAACACATAATGACTGAAGGATCAGAGAGATTCCCACAACAAGCTTGCAACCGCATTGCTGACGCTCAAGTATCCCAATGAGTGATCTCCTCATCCTCCTCCAACTAACTTCGATCTGTGTTGTGCCACAGGAACAGGCACCCACAACGGAAAACTAGATATTCGTATAGACCACATGTTACCACCGACATGGAGACAGACGCTCAAGCGGTTCATACTGAGACGCGCTACCAGAGAGCACATAATGTCTGGAGGGTCAGAGAGATTCCCACAACAAACTTGCAACCGCATTGCTGACGCTCAGACATCTCTGCGTTACCTCCTCATCCCCCTCGAACAGACTATACTGGTTGGTCACTAGCTTTGATCTGTGTTGTGCCACGGGAACAGGCACCCACAACGGAGAACTAGCTATCGTATAGACCACATGTTACCACCGGCATGGAGACAGAAGCTCAAGCGGTTAAGCTTCGGAGTGGACAGCGCTTGATCATGACACAAGTGAGCTCAAGCACGACACGTTAGACACTTAGACGCGCTAGTAGAGTACACAAGATGCCTGAGGGGTCAGATATACTCCGACAACAGGCTTGCATCAGTATTGCTGACGCGGAGACATCCCTATGTGCGATCTGCTGACCCCCATCAAACATAACACATACATTATGACACATTGGCTACACACCTCGGCCTGTGTTGTACCACGGACACAGGCACACACAGCGGAGAACTCGAGGTTGATAACGGCCACATGCCACACACGGCACGGAGACAGAAGCTCAAGCAGTTCATCTTAGGAGTGTACAGCACTTGATCATCACACACGCGAGCTCAAACACAACAA